AGGCCAGGTGCATATTGGATAGCGGCCATGTGAACAACCGCCACAGCCACTGCTGTCCGCTGCTGCACGGCTCCTGAAACATCTTCTCAAGACTGCACATGCGTCGCAAAGCAGCAGAGTCTACCCTGTCGCGCTGAACCGGTTCTGGGCCAAGGTCCACCTTTGGCGCCATCGCATTCGAGGTGGGGTGGTTAGCGGGCCATTCTCGTCTACGGCCTACGCACCAGCCTCCAGCGCTCACCAGCATCAACAACCCGGCCGCCCACCACCAGCCTGCCTGCACCGCGAGCTGCACCGCTGCGTGCAACCACCGCACCACGCAGCTTTGTTGCTGTCGCCACCTGCCCCCGCCCGACAAGTGTCACCCGCCTCCAGCCATCCGCGAGCTGTCGCAATATTGTTGGAACGCATCATTGTCGCAAACCACTCCTTCGGCCACCCCGAGCACCACAACACCAGACCCGGACAGCGAGATAGCAAACGTCGCGGCGCATGGTTTCCTACCCAGACTCGGCGAGTGCAGAGCGCTCACTGCCCATACGGCGTCCCTCGTCGGTTGTGTCGCACTCGTCGCGCGCATCCACCGTCCGCAGACATCGCCAGCACCGCTCCAACGTGGGTGGCTCGTCGCTAGCACCCCAAAATGAGTTCCCCGTGTTCACGCATACCGGCGACGTCGAAATCGTCATCAGCAATGGGCGGAAGGAAATGCGTTATCTGCTGCACAAGTTGATTCTGACGCAGTGCTCGGGCTTCTTCGAGGCTGGCACGAGCGATGAGTGGGCGACTGCTGGCGATGTGACCAACGCCGGCCCCAGCAACGGCACCGCCCTGTCGAGGATACCATCAGGATCACGACCCGAGCAGAAGCGGAAATGGAGGTACGAGATGGATTGGGGCAGCGGCGATGACGACCTGCCCATGCTCGTGCAGAAGGTGTGTTTGTTTACCGTCCGCGACGGCGACCATGCTAACGAGAGTACAGAAGAACCAGCCTACCATGTTTGGCGGCGACCCAAGTCCACCTGTGCAACCCCCTACTGCGCGCAACAAGCCTGCCGCACCGCAGTCAGGCTTCTTCCGGAGCATGGCCAACTTCTCCACCCTCCACGTGCCCGCGACAGCCACTCCCGAGACCGACCCCGACGACGACACCTTCCGCGACTACGACAACTTGTTCCGCATCTTCTACAACTACCCTCCCACGCTCGACTCTCTCAACATCGCGAATGCCTACGTAGAGTGCAAATCGCTTCTGCAGCTCGCCGACATGTACGACGCGCTTGGCGTCATCGGACCACGCGTAGACCATCATCTGCTGCGTTTCCAAGGCCGGTTATGGAAGCAGATCGCGAAATACCCGCCCAGCTACCTCAAACTTGGCTACATGGCACGGAGTAAAGCCATCTTCGCCGAAGCCATGGTGCACGTTGTCGGACAGTGGCCACAAGGCATCAATCAGCTACGCGGCCAGATCGCTGAGCCCGTCATCGAGCTGATAGAAGACAAAGTCGACGAGATGGACGAGCTCAAGGCCAAGATTGAAGTCAAGCTCTTCCGCCTATCCCTCACAACTAGTCGCGGCGAGCGTGTGAGCCCATCGAGCAACTGGCTGGACTGGATAGCAGTCTCGCTATTCCGACAATGGCTCGCCGAGAACACCACGCCACCCCCGGCCCCAATCCTCAAATCGCCACGACCCCAGAACTCGAGAGACGGTGCGCCGCTGCCACCTCCACCAGTCTTCAACACCGGCCGCATATTCCGCTTGCTCGGCCAGGCCGGCTCAAGTTACCTGAACCACGACGAGTGCAAGCGCTTCCTGCGACTGAACCCCGACCACTACAACCGCGACAACCTGAAGCGCTTCGAACGCAGGATTGAAGAAATCAAGGTCAAAGCCAAAGACGCAGTCAAGCCGCTGATGCGCAATTTCCTCGAGCTCGACCTACGAGAGGGCGGACTTCCCTATTTGACATGCACAAGGATCGATCCGCAAGACTTCCCATGGGACGACATATAAGACTGGAGGGAGGAAACGACTACATTGACAACACACACCCACTCGCTTCGACGTTTATAGATTGGCAGCAATCTGGCGCTTTTTGATCTATTTGGCTTTTTTGGTTTTGTTACGGATGCGGGATGTTTTGGCGCCTGATACCCTAGGATGTTTACATGTAAATACGCCGTTGTTGTTCTTTTTCCGCTATTCCCACCCCCGATTTCCTTGACGATTTGACGATATGGGAGAGATAGAGAGATGTGTATGTATGTAGAAAGAGAGATGGTAATTATCGTGTGTAAGAGAAGGAAGAAAAGAAGAAGAGGGTACATGCTGGCCGTGTGCTTTCTTCTTCTTTATCTTTCTATTGGGGCAGATGAAGAGACAAGATGAGATAATCGAGATTTTCACATTCCTCCACTTCTCTCGTGACGCCCCCTGTTCTGTCTGTTACATTGCCGAGCCAATATCCCTTTTCATGTGGGTGTGGGTTATGATCGACCCTCGGTTCACATGTCCACTCCACACCTGCATCCTACAGGCTCTTGAAATACACACTACCATAATTCCTTCTTTCGGTCCCTGATATCAAGAGATAGCATGCGGTACGTACTGCACCCGGGCATCCGAGCGAGATAGGCTCAGAGCGGAAGGCTTGTAACTATCTGCCGTCATGATCGACGCTGCAGCCGCGCCAAGCCGTGGTAGCGTGTGGGGGCTGGTGACGCGATACGGCGGGTACGGGGAGGATGGAGAGATAGGGCGGAAGGATGGGGATTGTTTTACGGAATTCTGGAGCTGGCATCGATGGAATCGATGAGTTGATTGGAAGTGGTACCTAGGTAGTGCTGGTATTGGTGGGTGCGGAAGATCGCCGAGGTGGCTGGATCGTTGATCGTTGCTCGCTTGTCACAGAGATTGGAAGATGCCCAGGTGTGGAAGATAACGTGGCTAACATCAATGACAGGCATGGCAGATCTTTCTGTCAGGTTGTGGGTGTTTCGGTGAGTTGAGTATGCAGGTACCGTTTCAAACTCTGAAGGTATCGAAGGAGATCACCACCCGGCCATCTCTGCCATGACCTTAACCACCGAATCTCACATACAAGACCTCCACTACCTACAACTCCACTGCACACTTTGATTTACAGCGATCATGCGGGACAGAACCAAACAAACAACCCTCCGATAACACTACTCCTAATCACTACCAAACATCTCCAAGAACCTGGATTACTCTTCTAGTTCTCGCCGACGGCCCAAACTCTCCCACAAGCATTGCTTATGCTCGGCATACGTCCAAAGCAGGAGCTTATCAGATCTACATGTCGCTTCGTCCCTAGCTCGCTGCGAAACACTAAACAGCAAAGCACTACCCTGCCGTTCATCAGGTCCCCACATATGTCGTTGCCTTTTCTGCACGGTAACGCAGGGTAGGCGGCCAAACAGAGAGGGAAACTTCGCCCAAAACGGCGTGACGTATCTGCTTGTAGACTACGTGGCGCACGGGGAGGTAGATTGGGCGTACTTAGCGGATGGGGATCGTCACTGGGTATCTAAGCCTCATGTCGATCGTTGTGGTGGCTGATAGGTAGCTGGTTGGAGATTACAGATTGTGGACAATCGGAGAATGGTCTGAATGGTCGGCGAACATTGGGTAGTTTGTGGGATGTAATGACGAAAAAGAGATGGGGAGGAGGGTATTGGGGATATTGATCGTCGTGTCGTGGTCTTGGACGTGGGAGCATGGGATGGAATCGGTAAGATCGAGTATCGTACGAGAGTAGTGTAGGCAGTGTAGCACAAGGGGGCAAGGCAAAGAAGGGCATCATAGGCAAAGGAATCATCTCCGCCATCTCGTTCATCAGAGATATATAAGCACAAGGCTCCTCCCTCCAAAACAGACTCATCATCACAACAGTTCCATTTCATCATCTACAACACCTTCACAAGACTACCACAACCCAACCAACCCAACCCACCAAACCACCAAAATGCAGTTCACCATCTTCACCCTCACCGCTCTCCTGAGCCTCACCTCCGCCGCCGCAGTCACCAAGCGTTTCCCATACACTGCCACTTCTGTCCAGGCTCGCCAGAGCGAGATCTGCGGTGGCCTCGCCACGCCATTGTGCTGCCAGACTGATGTCCTCGGTGTTGCCAACTTGAACTGCGCGAACGGTACGTTACGACATCCAGTCCATTGAAGTGAGGAGAACGAGTGCTAATTTGCATAACAGCCGGCGCTGGTATCGAAACAACAGAGGACTTCCAAGCTGCCTGCGCTGAGGACGGCACGACGGCTCAGTGCTGCATTGTGCCGCTTGGTGCTGATGGTCTGCTCTGCACTGCTGCTTAAGCTGTCTCCGACTTCAATACAAAGGTGTATTCGGGCATGCTAGATCTGCTGCTGTAGCAGTGAACCATCCAGAGATGTGGATGTATATAAGCGGTCAAGACGCTGCTGAGATATAGCGAAAGGGGTTTTACTGTTCTTGTTGTCACTACCTACCACTCCTTTAGGTGGGACAGTTTATTTGTAGATATACTTAGAGATGGAGGGCTAGTAGGAAGAGAGGGGTGTATGATACAATGAGAAATCTGTTTTTCTAAAGCTCCATCTTATACGTCGCCTCGTGAATTCGCTTTGAGACCCTGTTGTTTACTTACTGAAATTCTTCTGCTGGTCGGATGATGACTCTCCATGTGATTCCCGGTTCGATGAGTCGAACTTCACTTGCTCATCATAGAGTCCGCAAAGCCAATGATGAAGCTCCAGAACAGATTCCGACTCTTGCTACGACCCAATGACACCAATACCATCAACAAACTCACAGAAGAAGTAATCATATGCATTCAAGCCTCCCTGAGAACAGTAGAAAACACCGCCATGCAAGCCATGACACAATCAGATAATCGCCTACCCAAATACCCATCCGCGCTTATGCTATCACAAAAGACACTTGCCTCCCTCCCTCTCACCCTAATCATCCACCTCACTCGTAATCCAAGCTATCCCTCACACACTTCCTCACCCTCTTCTTAAACTCGGGCGTATTATCCCTCCACAAGCTCGCCGCCTCCACATTCGCTGGGCTCTCGTCGTTCGGGCTCGACAGCATGGAGATAACTGACAGAAGAATCGTTTCGGGTGTTTGGACGGGCGACCAGCGTTCTGCTGCGGATTCGTAGCCGTACTTGTCTTCTTCGGGTGGGTGGAGGATCGAGATGCATACTTCGCCGTTTTGGTAGACTGGGAGGTGTTAGTTATGCGATTCGAGTTATGAGGGGTTTGTGAGGAACGAGACGTACTGTTAGGGTGGAAGATGGGTGTCTCGAAGCGCATCTTTGGTGGGAGGAGCGGGTATTCGCTGGGGAAGGTGAGGCGCGCGCGGAAGAAACCTCCTGTCTGGTGTTAGTACTGGAGCTGTAACTTCTGAAGACCATGTCTGGATCTGTACCTCCGTAGAACTTTGTGTCATCGTCGATCATCAGCATCACCTCCCACTCGAACACATTGTTGTCCACCAGACCGCAGCTTATGCCTGATATACTCTTATCGTTTTGCATTTGCTTGAGTTGACGAGCCAGCAGCCCCGCTGCCGCAGATGACGACGCCATAGTACCCTTCTTTTCGCGTATGTGTATGTGAAGTGGCGCTCGAAGTCGAACCCTCGGTATGCGCAGAGAGATCGGGAACGGGTGGGGGAACGCAGCCGAAGAGACGGTTATAACAGCTGCGACGCAGAGATTGCACACGTTCTACAGCGATCCGGATGCAGATGTTCTTGCGTGAGGGAAGTTTTGTGTGCGCCGGTTCTGTTGCGGAAAGAGGGTAGGTGGAGATTCCAGAGGCGCGTTCGGGCGCAGGACGTGGAGGGCTCTTAACGGCGGGTGTGGCGGGGCAAGCTGCGGGCGATCGGCAGGGGGCTCGCTGGCAGTCGTGGGTAGGGGATGTCTGGCTGGGTAGGAGTATGCGCAAGAGTCAGAGTGTCTCCGTGAGTCTTGTTAGTGAGCGTGAGTGAGCGTGATCATATGTGAAGAAGCAAGTCGGCGGCATGCTCCAATGGCCGCGTCGCATGTGGCGGTATGCGCCAAGTCGAATACCGCTTTGCAGGGGTCCTTCAGGGTATTCAGGCCTTCCCTTTTGCGTCTGCTCTGCATTGAGGACGGGTGCTTGCCGATAATCAGCCCTAAAGGCGTGTGGGAGAGCTGGATTCGGTGCTTGGTAGATGAGCAACGTGAGAATTTGGACCTCGGCTTGAAACTCGATAAGCCCTACGACGCCTTCACACCAAAGTAGCTTCTGTGGCTGCAAGGAAGATCACTATTTGCTTATATAGGTATACCGATTCATGTCCCGATCTACTCGCCCAATACCTGTCCATCTCCGTCTGCCCAGTCCCCATTACGTCCCAGAACGCCATCGTAACCATCATAGATGCGATGCCACTCCCCGAGGACCCGTATCTAGGGTATCATTTGATCCAAAGGGGATATAGATTGGAAATAGCAAGACTCTAGAAGAGGTAAAACGTAAAATCGTACATGTAGGGAGCTTTGATTAGCCGAAGATCCGGAGAAAGCCCCATAGCCCGGCTCCGCAAAGCACGGGGATGGTGAGATTATCGTCCCAGCCAAAAACGTCAATCGCTTCACTGGCACTGGCGATGATGCCAGACGCCAGAGACATGGCGCCCAACGCCCAGTATCCGGTAAGGGAAGCTTGCTTCACGGAGAGAGCAAAAGTTTCCCGCGCCTGGGGAGGGAGCGTCAGGGCGCCTTGGAATGCAAAAGCGTATTCGCCGTGATTGTACTCTGAGTAGAGGGGACCTAGCCAGCCCCACCATACAGCCGCCGTGATGACACCGGTTACGCACGCCGCGATGGAACCCGCAAGACTCTTGCCTTTCCTGACTCTGGGCGTGAGGTGGCCCCAGAGCCTGCCGAAAGTCGAAGCAGCAGTATCGCACCAACTTAGTAGCAAGATGCTCATGACTGCTATGTCTTTCGGGCAAAAGCGCATGACTATCCATGCGCCCAGAAGGTAGAAGATGACGCCATTGTACCCATCTACTTCTGACTCGCGCATGAAGGCACCGAGGCAGCGGATGTAGAAGCGGTTGACTTGCCAGTAGCGGTGTCGGACGACGTCGGCGAGGGCGATGGGTATCAGCATGGTGAGGAGGACATTGTGTATTTGCGACGTTTGCGTGCCGGTGCAGTAGAGGAAGATGGTCAGGAAGCCGATGGAGACATGGAGGATCTTGCGAGGAATCTCATGCCGGTGAATCTATCGATGTCAGTAATCAACTCGCGAAGGCACCCTGCGTGTACTCACGAATGACCGCCATTTCTGGTGAATGGGGATCAAGCCTAGAGGACTCGGACTCCTGCTCATCTCCCTCCAGTAGTTCTTGTTTGCTTGCGCGGGTGACAGGTGGCCGTTTGAAGTGTTGCCAGGCAGCGCGAGATCCTTCTTCATGCCCCCGTTCATCTGCCTACGGCTTGTCAGGCCGCTCATCCTCCGCCGTCCCACGCCTCCATCCAGGATAGGACTCCGACTTCTGGCGTTCCGGCTCCTTGCTCGAGCCCTGCTGTCGGGATCTGATCCTGAGTCCTCATCGATAGGTGGAGGTGACGTAACCCGTTGTTTGCGCGTCGAAGAGCGCGTCACGGGTCCGAAATAACCATCTTTCGTACTACCCGCCTCCGAGGGCGTTGGCGACGGTGAGATCACACGCGGCGTGTTGGGGATCTGGTATTGGCGTGAAGACTCCATGGCAACGCGCCAGCAGGTGGGAAAGTAAGGGAAAGTAGGAGCCCGGATGACGCCGGAGAGAGTGGAGTGGGCCCTGGCACAGAGTAGGGCGATGTTTACCAGCAGGGACTGGCGATCCGAGGGTTGGGAATAAAGGTAATGAGGCTGGGTTGGCGCGTCACAGCTAACATGTGGGAGGGCGGCACTTAGGGTGGCTTCGACATTGATGTCAGCATCAGGCGTGATCAGAGGCTCATGGCCCGCGGATTCGTCCGGGCAGCGCGCATCGTTTAGGGAGGCAGAAGATGCCACAGTGCGTGCAGGCGACAGCAGCGGTCGTCTTATTTGTTATAGGCGGGTGAACAGGGAAGGGGTCGGGGCGTGACGGCTGTAATCTTGCTGCATGAGCCTGGGAAATTTGGTCTCACGGCTACGCATGTATGATCCGGTCTCGCGAATGCGCCTATGATCAGCGTGGCGGCGGATCAGCCTTGGCGATGCGATCAGGTTCGAGAAAGGAGACACCGTGTCAGTGTGTCATTGCAGGCTCGCGAACTGGATGCATCATGTTTTGAGTAATCAAGCTTTTGTCAGATGCGCTCGAAGCAGTGACAGTTCCACATGTGACGACCCCGCGTGCTCTCGAGTGTACCTGCCTGTGAACGACAGCCCTAGAGTGTGGCGCAATGTGGCCGTGCAGTGCTCCACTTTATTTTCAAAGTTCGCGCGACTTTTCTGTACAGCCGTGGCGACTCCAGCAGACATCTTCACGATATCATAGTGCATCATGGCGCCCCAGACTAAGATAGATCGTTCATTCAGCGCATTAACGCCTGCCTTGTCAGAATGGATTCTCGAAGCTGTGGATTCCATGGGCTTCGTAAAGACCACGCCTGTGCAGCACGCAGCCATCCCCATGTTCATGAAGAACTCTGATGTTGTAGTCGAGGCCGTCACAGGAAGTGGAAAGACTCTAGCGTAAGGTCATACATTGCCAGACTCTATGCGCATCTAACAAGTTCCTAGTTATCTCATTCCCATCGTCGAGCGCTTGTTGCGACTGGATGCGCCTATAAAAAAGCATCACGTGGGTGCCATTATCATCTCACCTACCAGAGAACTTGCAACACAGATCCACACAGTCCTTTCGTCGCTTCTCAGATTTCACGCCCCCTCTGCCGCGCTACTGGATCCTGAAGATGAAGATACCGACATGGAAGACGCCGATGCTCCGCCAAAACCGACCTTTCCACCCGGAACGTTGAAGGTCATACCCCAGCTTCTTCTCGGAGGATCAGTGACGCCCGCTCAGGACCTGAGCAGATTCCTCAAATCATCTACCAACGTACTCATCGGCACACCAGGACGACTCCTCGAACTCCTTTCCTCACCACATGTCCATTGCTCACAGTCATCCTTTGATGCCCTCGTTCTCGACGAAGCGGATCGTCTTCTAGACCTTGGCTTCAAAGATGACCTGCAAAGGATTCTCTCACGACTGCCAAAGCAACGCCGAACCGGTCTCTTTAGTGCTAGTGTTTCCGAGGCTGTCGACCAACTAATCCGCGTGGGTCTCAGGAATCCGGTTCGTATCGCTGTCAAGGTCAAGGCGCGAGCTGCACCCAATAGTGAGACAGGAGAAATGGGCGCCATCGAAGACAAGAAAACGCCAGCAAGCTTGCAGATGACATATCTGACCATACCAGCATCGCAAAAGCTACCCGCCATCAAGAAAATCTTGAAATCATTGGATCCGCAGCCGCAAAAGTCCATCATGTACTTGGCGACATGTTTCTCAGTCGACTACTTCCAACACATCCTACCTGAAGTTCTGAAAGGATACACCATTGTGCCCCTGCACGGCAAACTCCCGGATAAGGTCAGGAACCGCAACTTTATCAAATTCGTTGAGAGCATCACCCCATCCATCCTCCTCACAACAGATGTCGCTGCTCGTGGTCTCGACATCCCGTCAGTCGACCTGGTCCTTCAACTTGACGCACCAAGCGACCCGAAAACATTCATCCATCGCTGCGGCCGCGCAGGTCGGGCAGGTCGTAAAGGCCTAGCCGTCACATTTCTCAGTCCAGGCCGAGAAGAAGACTACATCGAGTTCCTCCGTGTCCGACAGACCCCAGTAACGCCGTTAACAATACCTGAAGTCACAGTATCTGCGGAAGAAGCCACAGCCATGAGCAATCGGATACGAAAGGTGGTCAAATCCGACAGAGCATTATTCGACAAAGCACAACGAGGTTTCGTCTCCTGGGTCCGCGCCTACAGTAAACACACCGCCAGCTCCATATTCCGCATCCCCGATCTCGACTGGACAGAACACGGCAACGCCTGGGGTCTACTTAAACTCCCCAGCATGCCTGAACTCAAGAAGTGGGACGGAGACCGCAGTCTAGGCGTAGCCATGGATTTCAGCACATACGCGTACAAAGACAAAGCGCGCGAAGCACAACGACAGGTCGAGCAGAGCGAGTACGAAGCTAATAAGGCGGAAGGGAAGAAGGAGGGCAAGAAGCGATATGTCACGGAAGATAAGAAGGCGTCGGCGTGGACGCAGCAGAAGGACGCGAAGGCGCTCAAGGAATCACGGAGGGAAAAGAAGGCTGCGAAGCGCGAACATGACCGTGTTGCGGCCTTGACGGAAGATGAGCGGAAAGAGGAAGAGAGGGTGAAGGGTATGATTGACCAGGTTAGGAAGAAGGTCGCAGAGAAGGAAGCCCAAGAGGCGGCGGATGAGTTTGAGGGTTTTAGCGATTGATTGCTGGGCGTCTACTTACCTTAATCACTTGCAGTAAATGTTGTCCTACTACGAGAGCTCTTTGAGTCTGCTTTGATTTGTTCGGAGTCACTTCGCTTTAACGCATAATGACTTAGCTTGTAAGATCGCGCAAAAAGAGTCACAACGAGTTCGTGAATCGAACGTAGCAAAAACAAAAGAATCAATGTTAGAGTCTAGAATCGAACTCGACAGCAAAAAAGAATATCCTTGATCGGTGCTATCTACTTGGTTGGGTGTATCAAACCCGTCTTCTGTTTTCAAGCTGTGATGTAGGAGGAACAGCTTTGAGTGTCTCAAACTCGCCGTTGAACCCATTCGACCACCCGGAATGTTCTTATGAAAACTCACGATATTACAAGCAATATATAGGCAATATCAGGTTGCTGTGGGTAACAACAGTGGATCACTCGCTAGACCCCAAGACTCTGCCCGCAGTGAAGGCGAGGCGGTGGAGGAGCGCTCACCAGGCAACGGTGACGTACTGTCGCACAATGCAAACGCTCACCTTCACCTTCGAACGAAGAATCTTCTAGCGCGTCCAAGCTCTCCAGACTTTTCTCTCACTCTTGCGTCTTCTCATAATCTGGCGTCCTTTACCTTTACCATCTACTCCATCACTTTGCGCTTACTACCACGTCAACGCCACCATGGGTCTCTCAATAGCTCTTCACTGCCCCACCATCAACAAGACCAAGAGCGCATTCGGCCTCGTGCCATCCAAGAAGCACGATGAGATCCTCCAGGACATTCGCTCGCTCTTCGGTATCGACTACGCCGCCACCTACGACATCCGCGGCAAACCAATCGATGACATCTGCGCCTGCAAACCCGGCGACCTTGTCCAAGTCGCTACAGAAAAGTTCGAGATCATGGTGCCCTACTCGCCTAGGAACTGCATCTTCTACAATGGCGAAGAGATGGAGAAGATTACCGACGCATGGGCTGACGGTTACGGCAAGCCGTGGAAGGTATGAATTGCTGCCTATTGAACTGCCTTTAGCAAAGACTGACAGAATGCTTAGGAACTCAACGACTCACAGCGGTGCGAACACATCACCAGCCTCGGCACAAAGGCTGAAGATTCCGTCTTGGTGAACACTATCCGCATCACGCGCCCGTACGTCGAGGTTCAACAAGAGTTGAAGGACATCGCCGCTGCCGCTCCTGAGGACATGGACACCAAGCAAAACCTCGGAACGGCTATCTTCACGAACTGGGGCAAGAAATGGGACATGCTCCTACCACCTACTATGAAGCCCGCCAACGACGAGATGTCCGCCAAGGTCCTCCGTCTTCTCGTCGCCCTTTCTTCTTTCACTCACGGTTCAGCGCGCCTAGTGCGCAGGTACCTCGTCGAAGCCGTCAATGCGCGCCTCTCTGGTCCGGGAGGTCGTGAGACGGATGACGCATTGTTGCGAGATGAAGACATCGTGCACGTGATCGGCACACTGTATGAGAAGGCGGATAGCTTGGCGGCCGAGATGGCGCTAGCCAAGGAGAAGAAGGTGCAGAAGAAGGTGAAAGACAAGACGCGGAAGCAGGCGTGGAGGGCGAGGAAGAAGGCGGCGAGAGGCAAGACGTCGTCTGATGTGGATGACCTTGCTGATTTGATGGATGTCGTTTAGGACTACATAGATTTTGTGCAGAAGAATATCAAGATGATGTACCGGCCAGACTCCTACATACCTGATAGACAGTAAAGAATGAAGCTTCCCAAACTCCATGTAGACATCTTAGTGATCAGTCATGATAGAGATGACAGCTTCCAAACTCCATGTAGACATATTAGTGATGAATGCCAGTAACGATTGAGTTTTTTGGAGTCCATGTCGTCATATCAGCGTCTCGAACTTTCAGGACTCGCAAGTCGTCTAATACCGCAACCACTGAAAATCATCATGCGCAAGTACTAAGTTGTGTCCTTCTCCCCATATCACCCCTTCCGTCGCAAACCGCAAAGAACCAATCTGTATCAGCGGGAACAGCCGGTCACAGTTGTTTGCGTCGAATGCCTTGAAATTGTTTGACGTAATCTGGAGAGTGTTGCGCATAGTGTTGTGTAACTTGCGGGCTTCGGCTTGGTCGACACGAAGCCGCCGCGACAAGGTGATTGGATTGTGGCCGTTTCCCCCAAGCGCTACCACCTTCGTTGGCGTACGCAGGTTTAATATCATACGTTCGGTGTATAACACACTGAAATGAGGATTGCCCTGGAATAATAGATTGGCAAGTGTCTTCAGGAAGATAGCAATGTAATCGAAGAGCTGTTTGGCAAAACAAGTCGGCGAGTGCTCCAACAAATGAGCCAGCTCATGCTCATGAGGAACAAAAGATTCGCGCGGCCCGTCTCGGAGGGACTCTCTTGTGCGCAAGTCGACGTTGATAAGGAGTTGATTGATGGTAGGCGAAAGCGCCGCAAATTGAACCCAGCTCAACGAAAAGTACGGCCGGCCATGCGAGAAGGTAATGTCGAATTCGTAGTTGAGGCGTTTCGCAGCGACCAGGTGTTGGATTGCTTGCTTGAACTCTCCGTGTGTCTGGCGACATACGCGCAGCAGCCCGCGATAACACCGAAGCGGTAAATCGTTCCTCACGTAATGCTCTGACACCACCATAACCCCGCGGAAAGAACGCCCCAGCTCTTCGTTAAGCAACACCTCGTAGACATGATTTCGGAGTTCAAGTGGAAGATCCAAAAAGCCGGGCATGTTGTTGGTGACCAAAAGTGCGAATGCGGCTGTCGAAGATCAGGGTCCAGCGGCAGGCACACGGATGTTCGGAAGCGAGACCGAAGGATTATTGAGTATGGTTCAGGCCTGCACTCGCTGCTTGCGGGACCAGAGAATGGGGATGCGGGGGTGACGACAGGGAACTGACGTGATCAAAGGAAGTTTGCGGAGAAGATTGAAGTGAGGTTCAGCCTTTTCGACGAGGTTCAGTGTTGTGAAACTGATCGGTCCGTGCTACCCACGTGATTGGATCTGGGCTCTGGGATTTGCGAGCGGGCAATGGCGGCGCGGCGACTGCATCGTCATCGCTAAAGTGGTGTCTTATCCAAGATGGCATTTCCAGCCGGCCTGACTGCTATGCACACTCGGACAGCGCATCGCATAGATGGACGACTACGAACTTGATCGCGTCGCGTCGGATAATCCTGCTCTGACTGCGCCTGCGGCCCAGCGGGCTCCCATACGACGGCTGAAGTCTCCGGGCCCGACATCGACGTCAGCTGCTCAATCTACCGGTTCCAATACTACGGTCGCATCTGGGGAGTTGACGAAATACGACGTACGTTTTCAACACACGAGGCTTGGAAATGTACTCTAAACAAGCATAGGTGGGCTGGCGCAGGATTGTGAGGAACTTTTCGCCGTCATGGTTCTCTGTGACCATGGGCACGGGAGTAGTTTCTCTACTTCTCGTCGCTATACCGTTCAAAGCAGACTGGTTGTACTGGCTTGCGGTTATCTTCTTTGGACTCAACACTATCCTGTTCGCATGCGCCTTCTCTGTCTCTGTCTTCCGATATGTGGCATACCCTGAAATCTGGACCGTTATGATCGCGGATAGTGTCAACTCGCTCTTCCTTGGAACCATTCCGATGGGATTCGCTACCCTCATCTCAGCTTGGTGCTCAATATGCATCCCATATTGGGGGCCCTGGGCTGTTACCTTTGCTTGGGTTTGCTGGATGATCGATTCTGTAGTCGCTGTCTCAGTCACGATATCGCTCACGATCCTACTGATCTCTGCCTCTGACCGTCAGGCTTTGGATCGCATCACAGCAGCTCAGCTATTACCTATTGCTGCATCCATAGTCGCAGCTGGTACCGGCGCCAGAGTCGCAGAGCATTTGACCAACCCGCAACATGCTCTGGGCACGATACTTGCTTCGTACATTATGTGGGGTATGTCTACACCACTAGCGATGACGGTTCTAGTCATGTACTACACACGCCTGGCTTTGCACAAGCTACCACCACGAGAGATTGTTGTGTCATCCTTCTTGCCACTAGGACCCCTAGGCATGGGCGGCTATTCCATAACCTATCTTGGTTCGGTCAGCAGACGGGTCTTTCCAGAAACGGACTTCTTCTCAGATATTCCCGTGGCAGGCGACATCTTCTTCGTCTTCGGGGTCTTTCTGGCGCTCATCATGTGGGCGTTTGGGCTGACTTGGCTCTGTTTCGCACTGGCTTCCATCTACAAGTCTCGGCCGTTTCCGTTCAACATGGGCTGGTGGGGTTTCACGTTTCCCCTTGGGGTCATGGCGCTTAGTACGATGGAGCTTGGTAACATCTTCCCGAGTCTGTTCTTCAGAGTTCTAGGGACGATCTTCGCCGTAGCCGTCATTCTGCTGTGGTTCGTAGTAGCTGTTGGCACAGCACGCGGTGCATGGAGCGGTCGTCTGTTCAATGCGCCGTGCCTCAAGAACTTGCCGAAGAGAGATTCTACGGGGAAAGATGAAGCAGAGAAAGAGAAAGGGCTAGTGCAGACATGACCCTGAGTCACTATCATCGACACAAGAGGTGCGTATGTGAAAGTTCTATTGGGATCTCATAAATTGCGTTACGTTTAATCGTAAGAGTATGTATGTGCAAAGCCCCTCGTCGCAAAGCATCAAGCCCCTCGCTGACCGCTAAAGGACCTCCAGCATACCCCGGTTCACTGCCTCAAAGGGTAATTCTAGTTGCCAGCACCTGCAGCATCGCATTGTTCTACCATATGATTAGCTTCGTTCCAGAGACTATCAATCATCGAACTCACGCTTCTGAGCCTGGCAATCCTGAGTGGAGAAGTCTCCCTGTCCACCATTGGCCAAGTTCGCGCAGCCGTTGAACTGCTGGTCGCAAGAGCGCTGGAGAGCACCCGAGAGGTTGACAAAAGTGTCACCCTTGACACTGAAGGGGCGGTTGGCGATGCCGGAGTCGAGGATGGGTGTAGCAGCGACACCACCGAGAGCGCCGGTGAAGGTCTGCGCGTTGTTCTGGCGAACATAGATGGCGCGTGCGTTGCTGAGAGCAGCGACGCTAAGAACGATGAGGGTGCTGGTGAACTTCATGTTGACAAATTGAAGTATTTGGAATGAAAGTGCGTTAAAGCGATGGGTATCTTGATGTGCTATTGAATGAATGGGGCGACCGAGCGCTGAAGAAGTGAAGTAAAGAGAATGAAATGAAGTGAACGTGAGATGAATGAGTGTTGGCTTGATGATGAGCTTTTCGCAGAGGCATCCTTTCCTACATATATAGTCCTACATTTGCCCCCACGGCGCCTACACTCAGATCTACAGCACTTCTGTCAAAATTACTAGGCGGGGTCACAATGCTAGCGTCCGCCGATGTTGGTGTTCCAAAGTGCTGCCTCAGGCACCTGAAACCCCGCAGGTCTTGGAGTCGACACACCAAATGCCTCATTACTTTCGAATCGGCTACGCGACTAAACAACTACACCACTCAAGCTACTGTTAAGAGTGAAAATGTTTATAGCGCAGGTTTGACAGGTGGTGACAGCTGCTTGCAGCCATGATCCTGGATTTCGCGAGCCGCGTGGGTATGGCGTCGTTTGTCTCGGTGTGCTTCATGTGGTGATTATAGCCGCGGCGCGACAATATGTGATACGTTATAGTGTTCGAGAATGTCGTTGAATGAATCGAGGATTCTGTAGTGAGTCGCATCGACGCACATGAGGTGGCATGCGGATCTGACGTGCGACCTTCCGAGGCATGATCAGCCATGGCTGCGATTGATGATATGTGATGCACGTTATTGTTCTTCTATATCTTTCAAATAGTTCCGGCAACGCCGCTTTGCTACGACTTTGTAGGCTCATATGTATGATCGTTTCCTGTCCAGCTTTCCTACGTTCCTGTCGGCCCTCGCAAATGCTATCGCGCCTACGGCCTCATTCGGGCAGACATCTCCTATGCGTACAGGGTAATCGCGCATCAACGCTGTTCTCGCCAATCCAGTCAAAGTAGTTCCTCCCGTAGGCGTTGGGACATAAGGATTCAAAAGCGTCAGCGAGGACGCATAGCCGATGATATCCGGTGCGATCGTGATGTACTTGAGTACGAGTCCGGTGTACGCGGCGGCAAGCAGTATGAATGAGCAAACCAATAAGGCTGCGAACCATCTCCAATCTGTTTTGTACATTGGCGTCGTATCCTGCGATACATTGGCTTCGGTCGCGACGAATGTAATATTGGCATCTGCACGTTGTGCCTGGGTGAAGTTCATAGCGCCGGTTTCCATCACGGATGCTGGTAAATTTCCGCCGATCGCTCTGCTGGCGTATGTGGACTGCCAGAATGTGTTGTACAGAATAGTCAGACGGTCGCCGAAGACTTGCGGCGACAGCTTGTAGAGTTCGGCATTTCCAAAGAATACGCCGGTGAAGTCGAGTGGGTCCTGCAGCCATTTCTCCATAGTCGTCGCGCCTCGAGCAAATGCAACAGGCATATTGAAGTTGTCCGCGCTCGTCATGGCGAGGAGCGCGGTAGCCATGAACTGCCTCCTTAGGGCAATATCGTAGCCTATTGGGTAGTCCTCGTCATACAAGTACATCTTCCTCATCTTGTAAGCGGCACACTCCGTCCCATTGCAGCGTACTCCGACTTCGTATTTCTCGAACGACAGCCCACAATTCGCCACTGAGTACTTTCCTGTATCCAAATCGACGAGAGATTCACTCCGGATTGGGCAGGGGTAACTAGCACAAACCGGGGGCGCACAGAACGTCTCGTTCTTTTTACAAGGCGGCGGCGCTGTATCGTTAACTACTTGGAGTTGCCACGTGTATTTTGACACAAAATCTATAGGTTCTCCTCGTGATGCATTGTTGCTTGAACAGGTCACGTCAAATTGGCGAGCTTCGATGTTGAAAGAGCTAATGCCGACCGAGGGAGGCCCGGCTATCGGGATACCGATTAGGGAAGCGTATGTGACGTTGTCGGCTGTACCGTTAGGCACAAACTTCCACTCGTCAGACGTACTGTTCTCGATAGTACGATAGAGCGGGAGTTTGACATTTCCCCATAGGTCCATGGGTGTAGTACGGTATCTGGTGCTGCTGAGTATAGATGTGAGGAAGATCGGAGTGAAGGAGCTACGGCCTGTACCTACGAATAGTGTAAGTATAGAGCCAGTTTACGTCTGAAATGAGCTTGGCATATGTGAACTTACTAAGGGTACTAGCAGTCTCCATTAATGAATCCATAAACGTCGTCGGATGGAGGTAGCGCACTTGTTTGGTAAACTGGACGTTTCCAATCTCTTGGTCAATAAGACGAAGTGCAGACTGTCCACCGACTGGCGAAAGGAGCCAAATCAAGACGGATGCAAGTCCAAGCAGAGACCAAGATCTCAGACAAAATTGACGTTCGAGTGCGGAGAAGACGGATTGGCAACCTATCAGCTGTTCGAGACGGCCGAGAGTTGTGCCTCGTTGAGCAAGGAAGAGACCAACATGTCGGAAAAACCTTCCCATCAAGGCCGCGAAGATGAGGGGGAAGATTGTCGGCGAAAGGAGAAGTGTTTGTTCCAGCTTGGTACCATAGTCCGACACTTCTTTCCCGTTCAACCTGGCAGCGATAAGGGCCAGAGCTGTAGCATGTCAGCAAGTGGTCGATGTAATCGTTAAAGCAGCTCAGTGTGGTCACGCTGAGATCGATCGTACTCACCCAGAAACATAATAGGCGATGAAGCCA